CCAATTATAGGCTCTTTTAGTTATTTTTTGTGCGGTAATGAGAGGTTGCACAAAAACATTTTGGGGTAATGGTTCCAAAAGTTCCCCGACCACTGACCTAGAGTAATAAAATAATTATACCCACTAGCTAGTTGCAAAAAACTCAATCCTTCTGCGCGTAAATCTTGAACCATTAACATCTTACAAATAAATACTAAATATTTACTAAACCTTTTACTTATTTCTCAATTAACTTATTTTATATCAGGCTTATTATAGCCATTTTAATAATAAATTATATCTAGTCCTTCGAAGTAATAGATTGTTCGTATTGTCGTGTATAATTTCCCAAATGTACCTTCGACTCGAGCATAGGTCCCATCTACGCAACAACACTACTACCACTATGCCGTCCGGCGACACCACAGTGGAGTCGTGCGCGAACTAATGGTCAACAGCCGGCAGGATTAGCATTTATCACATACGTATCATACAAAACATATAATTTAGAACATACGACCCTCACGATAACTCATCATTCCACGATAATTCAGTAAAATGAAGATAATTTACCGATAATCTTTTTTTATGTATTATGCTGCCCTCTCTTGTAGGCAATGGATGTTAATTATATTTATAAAGCATATGTTGGTAACACCGTATCGAATTTTAGTTGTGGAAATTGCAACCATAAATAAATAAGCATATCTATGTACCTTTTTTACATTATCTATGGTACCTACACTCTCAGTAACGTGATCTTTGTTGTATGTACACTTTTGTTGTTTGGATTCGAAAGCCATTTATCGTTTGGAGCTCTGTGATATTTATATTTGTAGTGCGCTGCAGTAATTTACAACTGAAATTATAATCCGCTGAAAAATATTTTTTGCGCTAAATCAGGTAATTATTTACAAATCAATTGGTATAGCTAGTAGTTTCTGCTTGTATTTTTAAAAGTATTTTATTTATTGATTTAGATTAGATGCCAGCCCTAAATCCAACAGAAGAATAAAGTGTTTTTTTTCTATTTCAAGTGTTACGATTTCGAACAAGATGAGTAACTTAAGTCCTGATGAAGATACAAGAAGACTACAGGCTAAAAAGCCGAAACTTTATGAACGTAGAAAGCAAAAATTTTTGAAAGAATGGATGAATGATAGATACCAAGTTCAACACGTGGTTAATGCCAGATGTATCAGACAAGTTTAAAGCTAGATGCAGATTATGTAATACATCGTTTACTGCTGAGCTCACGGTAATTAAAAATCATACATCTACACAAATCTATACAATCTAAAAGTCATTTGTCATCAATCACTTCGGCTTCGAATCAAAAATCAATTCAATCATTTACTCAAAAAAAAGTGGAAACATCATTTGATAACACAATGCAACACGTGCAGAAATAAAACTTTGTGAATTTCTAGCTGAGCACAATCTTCCTTTTCGGTTAATGGACCGCCTGACACCTCTTTTAAAAGATTGCTTTCCAGATTCAAAAATTGCCCAGGATTTGAGGTTAAAATCATCAAAGTCTGCTGCTGTCCTGGAATTTACATAATGAAATACCTGTGTAACTCATTACATCTCTGCGCAAGTAATGCTTGTTCTGAATTACCCCCAGAATGTGAAAAATTACCACAGCTGGTTCATAATCATTTTTCAGTGAGCTCAAAACGCCAATATGCACACAAAAGAATTCAATCGATTTTGGATTTGAAACAGCATAAAATTTTACAACCTGCTCAGACCCGCTGGTTATCACTTCGAGCAGTGGTAGAACAAGTGGGAGGCATTAATTTTATATTTCAATCAATTAAATTATGAAGAGGAATACAGGAAGATGAGTAAAAGGAGGAAAGATGATAGTGATGGAACAGATGAAAATGAATCTGAAGTTGCAAGAATACTTCAATACTTGCGAAATCCCATAATAAAGCTCTACTATCATTTTTTATTGTGGATTTTACCTAACTTCACGAATTTAAACAAGTTATTCCAGTCCGAAAACCCTATTATTATGTCAGTTCATAAGAAAATTAGTGTGACATATTTGGATTTATTAAAAACATATATGGATGATGACTACGTAAATAAAACACCCATATATAATATTGAACCATCGGATCAGACTAAATTTAAGAATATTCAAAATATTTATGTTGGAGTAGAAGTTTTTAAATAAAACACCCATATATAATATTGAACCATCGGATCAGACTAAATTTAAGAATATTCAAAATATTTATGTTGGAGTAGAAGTTTTTAAATATTTTAACCAAGTAGACTTTTCAAAACATCCTCGTTTACAAGAAAAATTGCATTTCCTTGCAAAATTCAGGATTCGATTTCAATGATACTATATTGAAAAATTTATCAGTAATGGATCCTGCGGAGGCAATGAATGGTAAAACAGTAATCACTACGCCAAGTTTGCTACCATTATTGAGTAAACTGCCCCGATTATTAAACCCAAGTCAAAGTCAAATTATTGATAATGAATGGCGAAGATTCCATAATTTTGAATTGCCGGATGACATTAGTAAAATTTTAATTTACAAAGATAAGGAAAAGGTTTGGAGTTTTGAAAACTTAGCTAAATTTTTCTTAAATGTTATGTCATTACCTCATGCTAATGCCGAATGTGAGCGAATATTTAGCAAGACTGGATTAATAAAATGCCAAACACGCAACAAATTGGTAACTAATACACTTAACGGGCTATTGTTAAGTAGTCAGCGAATCAACCATAACTGCGTTGGTTACGAACCATCTAAAGATGAATTTTGTAAAATGAAGAAATCTTTATATGCTACTTCCACAAGCAATAGTGAAAGCCTCTTTATTGATACTAATACCAGTGATGCTGACCAACCAAACGTCGATCTGGATGACATATCATATTTTAGTTAAAAAAATTAGTATTTGTTGTATATAATATATAAGATTTATAATTGTATGTCATTTAATAAATAAAAAAGTAAATCGTCTAATTTTATGAATTTTTAAAATTGAACTACTTGTCGTAAGGCCGTATTATTTCAGTAAGTTCTATAAGACCATGATATATATCGCCAAAAAAAGTTCCATAAAATTCGATTTTAATTTTTCTGCAACAATTAATTACAAGAAAACGGTTCGATAGATTTTCACCTAAAACTAAATGTAGCACCAACTAAAACTAATCCGTATCATTGCCAAATAATATCTTTTAAAAAGTTTTTGATTTTTTAAAATCGATTCGGTAGTATGAGCTTAAATATAGACGAAAAGTTTAACAATTTTTTCCAAATTACAAAGAAATGGCTCGGCCGATTGCTGCACAAAACTAAGAAAAGATAATCCACATTAAAATACTTTGATTGGCTTTTAAATTTTTGACATTGATTCAGGCGTTTTTGAGCAAGCGTCGAGGAAAGTTATAATTTTGACAAAAGCCAAAAATTACACTAATTTTTGCAAACTTTTCGTCAATTTTTTTAAATTAAACGACTTGCCGTAGGACCCTAATATTTCAGTATGATCTATAAGACTGTAGAGACCCTGCAATTGACCACCATAGGAATGGTGGTAATGGCCAATAGAAAACATCCAAGTGATTAAGGTTAGGGTATATAACTTAACTTAGACCCATGATCGAATACCTATTATTGTAACAATATTACATTCCGCCGCGCATTGCAGAAATCGTATTGTTTAAATTCAAAGGTAAGTAGTATTTGTTAATATCGTCACGTTTATATTGTCACGAGTGACTCGTTTTCGTAGGTATCTTATTAGTTAACTTTTGTTTTGGGTACCTACAAGTGTTTTTGACATGGCTTCTACTCCATCTGGCAAAAAGCGCACTTATAAAGAAGCATTTCTACAATGGGGTTTCACAAGCATCACAGACAAAAATATAGAAAAGCCTCAGTGTGTTTTACGTAATAAAGTCATAGACCTTATACAATACATGGCTGCTAGTTAAGCGCATAAAAAGTGTCAAAAGATGTTCTATGGTATGAGGGCATACGAGGGTAATTTTGCGGCCGAGATATGTCAAATACGAACACGAGCTTTACCGAGATTAGTCGAATGCACTCGATCGCTTAAATTTTACAGTTACTTGGGTTCACGTGATGTTTGATCGCTCGGGTTTTTAAACTAAAAGAGGATAAAAATATACCTGTTGTAAAATTGTTAAAAGTGAAATGTCTTCTAAAATGTGTTTGGTCTGTGGTAAAGTTCCTATTTGCAGTAAAACCTGTTCTGAATGCTTCGCAAGTATTCCGGGAAATTCGACATTCATCGATATAAAAAATCGAGGATATCTTTCATATCCTTCCGATGAAATGTTTAAATTATATTTATATATAGAAACCCTAATTCGAAATTCTTTAAATTTAATGTACAAAAGTTCATATGAAAGCACGATTCTCCAAAAGTTGAATGACTTGCGACTTGCACATTTTTTAGATCAAGCCATTTCCAGCAATTTGTCCAGCACTATCATGACCTTATCAACTTTGTCGCAAAAATGTATTTAACAATTAGAATGCACCATGAAGAACATAAAAAAATCAAAGTTGATAAATATGTACGCCACTTTCACACAAAAATTGTGCTTTTTAAACACCAATAATAAATATATTACATTTAAACAAATATTTCATTATTGCTTTTTCTTATTTTCAGTGAATTTTATAATATGTAAAATATTTTTTTATTTTCTTTTCTTATTTTCCTCAAACACTTTGTATAACTAAAATAAATAAATAAATATATAAATAGTTCATTACATTCATTAGTTTAACATAAATTGTATATTATATAATATTTTCCCAACAATTTCGAACACACGGACTTTCATTTGACGTTCAAGCGATCGAGTTTGACATTTTCGGCCGCGAAATTACCCTCGTATGCCCTCATACCATAGAACATCTTTTGACACTTTTTTACTTGAGAAATGTATGGGGACTAGCAGTCCATGAAATTGTATAAGGTCTATGAATAAAGTGCATAATTCAGAAAGCATGAAACCGAACAAATTAAAAGAACATTTTGCTACAGTTCACAAGCAGTTTGCAGATAAAAATATAGATTTTTTTAAGGAAAAGGAGAAGATTCTGAAGTTTTTGCGCATGGATTCTACAGGCAACATACAGAAAGCAAATGAATCATACCTTCAAGCTTCATACAAAATTGCTTATCGCATCGCACGTAATAAAAAACCACACACTAAAGGAGAGGACCTCATCAAACCTTGCTTATTAGATGCGGCAACACTTGTTATAGGTAAGCAACATGTAGCTAAGATTAAACAAATATCACTCTCAAACAATACCATTCAAAGACGCATATGTGAAATGAGTGCCGATATTTTAGCAACCGTTATTGCTGAAATAAAGGAAAGTCCTATGTTTGCACTGCAGTTGGACGAGTCCACAGATGTTGCTTCGTGTTCACAATTATTAATGTTCGCATGATACATAAAAAATGATGATGTAAAGGAGGAATATTTGTTTTGCAAGTCTTTGCCCACTACTACTCGCGGCGAAGACGTATTTCAAACGCTAAAAGAGTTTATTGAGGAAAATGGCCTGGACTGGTTAAAGCTGGTTGGTATTTGTACAGACGGGGCACCTTCCATGATGGGTATCCGTTCTGGTTTTCAGTCACTTGTGAAACAAGTTGCTCCTCAAGTTTTCAACTATCATTGTTTGAGACAACGTTACGCTTTGGCTGTAAAAACACTCCCACCAGATTTGCTAAACACGTTGAGTGATATAGTAAAAATTGTTAATCATATTCGAGGCAGCGCTACTAACTCAAGATTATTTAAAGTTTTGTGCGATGAAGTTGGTGCTACATTTAACGCACTTTTGTACAACGTTCTAAGTAGGGTCTATGAATTACGAGAAGAAATTGGATTGTTTTTTGAAAACCAGAGAACACAAAAAGGAAAAGAATATTATGCAAAAATTAAACACCATATATTTGTTCTAAAAATAGCGTACCTTGCTGATTTTTTTACTGAAATTAATAATCTGAATATTTCACTGCAAGGAAATGAAACAAATATTTTGATGCTGCAGGATAAAATCGCAAGTTTTTTATGCAAATTGGAATTTTACCAACGCAGAGTTCAAGCTGGTGATGTGTCGATGTTTACACGACTAAGTGAACAATTACTAAATAATAAACGAGACAAAATCACATTTGAAAATTCTGTGGTGTAACACTTAACTGCCGTGATAGACTCACTGCAGCAATATTTCCCGACATGGACATTCGTGAGTGCTACTCCTGGATTTTAAGACCATTTTCTACTTGCGTCGATATATTCAAGGACGAAGATGTGTCAGCATGTGTCTCGGGCTGCGTGAAAATAACTTATTGAAAGTTGATTTTCAAAATGATAAACTCTGCACATTTTGGCGAAAAGCAGCTGCAGAATATCCCATCATAGCTGACAGAACTTTAAAGATCTTGATTCCACTTGACTCAGTTTCTCAACTTTTCTTATATTAAAAACAAAAGCCAGAAATCGTATGAACATTGAGCATGATATGAGATGCTTGTTGAGTGAAGCTGAACCTAATATTGTGAAACTTGCGACACTTAACTCAACGCAAAGCAATTTCAACCTTCGCACTAGTACTCTAAGATTTACATATAACTTTATATTACTAGCATGGCCGGTAATCTCCGAACAAATGTAGAGAACCCTGTTTTGAAATGGCTTAATATTCGAATTTATCGAAGAATGGCGCCACTATTAACAATTTGATACATCGGAAAGAAAAATAGATGGCTGCACTCATATATAAATGAGCATGGCTGCACTGCTAATCGTCGTTTCTTGTGGGAAAAACCCATCGGAAAATCATGCATTTGATCGCCATTTTATGTCTAAGTTGTGATAGCTTCTTGTAGTTCTATTATATTTGTTTATCTGTTATACGTTGTGGTCATACTTGTTTTGGTAATTATTTTTTTACTTATTATTAAGTTAAAATGGTGAAGTGTAACGTACCAAATTGTGTTAACACCACAAATAATAAAAAGATGCATGTCTTTCCGGCATCTAATGATCAAGTATGTATATAATGATGTATTATGTTTGTATAATGAATATGAATATGATGAAAATACTATGAAAATGTTCTAGATGTTTTCAGTTTGGGTGCAGAGGACAAACAATCCTTTATTGGATGAGGTAACCCATTTGGTTTGTGGTAAAATCGACATATTTGTGACGCGCATTTCACAAATATTTGCAAAGTGGAATATTTGTCAACAAATTCAAAGACAGGTCTAAAAGTTAACGCCCTGCCTCTAAATATGACACGTTAGTATTACAAATATATGAATAAATGAATTTATTTTTAATGGAAATGCTGACTTCATATTTTGCTTGGTATTTATAGGATTCACTGGAGACCCATACTTAGAGAAGAATTGTCTCATGGATAGAGCTAGATTCCGCAAGGATAATGATGATATGTATATATATATATATATATATATATATATATATATATATATATATATATATATCTTATATATAAAATTCTTCTGTAAGTTTATATGAATGGTTAATCCTCCTAAACTATAATTCGAATTTTCATGAATCTACTTGAAGTTTGTTCGGGAAATTTTTTAGAATTTTTAGATTCATAGAAATATCGTTAGATTGTAGAAATGGAAAAAAATACAAAAAACCGCTTATCATTGTTTGACCTTGAAAATATTTAAGGCATGGTTTGACATTAAAAACAAATGACAACTGTCATTTGCCAAACATTTTTATTCACTTATAGGCTAAGGCAATTAAAATATAATAAATTCATGATTATAAATAAAGAAAATGTAATGTCTACATTATTATTGTCGAAAAGCAGCTGAGAAGTGCCAAAAATTAAAATGATATAAGACGCAAATAATATAACATGCGTCTCTAGTAGTAAAGGCTCTAGAGAAAAAAGGACAATTATGGATCAATAAATTCGAAAGTATCTACGCAACCTTGGTTTAAAAAAATAAAACAAAATAGAAAATACATTACAAATATATGTGGGATCCGACTAGGTCACTGGAGATTTGGAAAGCACCTAAACAAAATTAAGATGATCAATTCCCCGACATGTACATGTGGATATGAAGAAGAATCCCTTAACCACATCTTTTTTGGATGTCCTCGATATCAGTCTACAAGAGAAAAATTTTACGAGAAGCTTCAAAAAGTGAAAATCGATTTTCCGGCTAGCATACACCAATTACTTATAATTAGTTCTGAGAACATATATAGTATTATTAATGAATTCCTTATTGAGAATAGTTTAGAAATACAACGGAGAGATAATACCATGTAGATAATACAGGACGGTCATCGTTGTTATTATGCTTTGCAGTATCCATTGATATTTTGGAAAGATGAAGATGGGTACCATTTAAATATTAAACAGAGGGATCCAAATACAGGTAAAAATCTTATTTTTATAAAAAAAATCAAATAATAATTAAAATAATTTTAATATATTTTATTTTATCCCAGTGCCAAAAAAGTAAGTACTATGGGCTTTTACTGCTACGATCAATGATTGGAGCTAATGAAGAAAATAACATTCTTAAATGCAGAGAGCATATGTGAAAATTGAGAGTGAGAGATTGAGATCCATAAAGTTTAATCAAACCAAACTCCGTACTGAGGAATATATACATTTACGTGATGCAGTACTCGGTAATGTAGATGCAATTAATAATATTAGTCATATTGGTACTGCATATATTCTTCCATCTTCTTATCCGCGACATATGCAGGAGTACATTCAAGATGCTATGGCTTATATTCGTGCATATGACAGACCTAATCTGTTCATTACCTTTACGTGCAATCCCAAATGGGATAAAATAAAAAAATTGCTGATGCCGGGACAAACAACGATGGATAGGCACGATATAACTGCACGAGTTTTTAAACAGAAGTTGAAATCATTGATAAATTTTATAGTAGATTGGCAGGAAAGAGGTTTACCCATGCACATATTGTGTTGTGGTTAATTGATAAGGTACGTTCTGTAGAGATTGACAATATTATCTCAGCAGAAATTCCTGATAAAAATGTTGATGAGGAATTGTTCGATATTATAACTACTAACATGATACATGGTCCATGCGGTACTCTCAGCATTATGTCACCATGCATGGACAATGGAAAATGCACAAAACATTTTCCAAAATCATTTCAAAACGATACTATCACCGACATTGATGGTTACCCTGCTTATCGGCGACGTGACGTTGACAATGGTAGACAATGTTTTGAATTGCGACTGACGAATGGCGGGTTAATAGATGTTGATAATCGATGGGTAGTTCCTTATTCGCCTTTGCTATGCAAAACCTATAAAGCACATATAAATGTCGAATTGTGCAGCTCGGTGAAGTCGATAAAATACATATGCAAATATGTTCATACAGGGAGCAACAAAGCAATATTTGCAATTAAAAGTATTAATGAGAATGATGAAATAACTGGATATCAAATGGGTCGGTGCGTCAGTAGCAATGAAGCTATCTGGATTGAAGAAGCTATGGAGAAATAGATTGAATGCCGAAGATTGTATTAAAATTGTTCTGACGTGTTAAAGTCCCAATTTTGAAGAAAATTGTGTCAAAGATGAAGCAACACCATTTCTCCAAATCGTAATCCAACCTTGCATTATATGTGTGCGTGTTTATTGTCACTTGTGGCATTATTGTTAACTTCCCCTATAGTCCAAGAGCCAGGTGCAAATTTGGTTAATTATTTCTTCTCGATAGATAATTGGCGATACGCTTCAGACAACAGTATCATAAAGCCCTATGACCGTCAGCTGCGGCACAGTGGGGGGGATGAGTAATTGTAACCCCCCAAGCTTGAAGAAAAAAAAAATCACTCATTTCCTCTCGGCTAAAAGTTTATCAAGTTATAGCTAACCCAATACCTCAGCAAAAAAAAAGTCAGCTGGTTATAACATAGTTCATTGTACACATTTGTAAAAACATTGATGGCTAGATCATGGGAAAAAAATCTTCACTTTCAGTGATATCCTCTCGGTTAAAAATTTACCAGGTGATAGCTTATATGTAACAATTGTTAAATATATACGTCAGCTGGCTGTATCTCGGTGGAAAAATCGTCAGCTGATACTTTGAAGGTCGTTACGTAGAAGTTAGCCAGAAGCATTTATTGACTATTTAACCCTTTTAGTGCCGGGCGAAATGGAGGTGCCTACGCGAGAAAAACCGGCCGAATTTCACAGTTTTACAAGGGTTCGGGAAAATGCTTATAAAAACCAAACGAGAAACGGTATTTACATGATTCAAAAAGCTGCGTATTATAGATGAAATACAAAACGAAACAATGACACTAGTTTTTTTGTACTCATTTGAGAATTATAGAAAAAAACAAAGGTATATTTGTTTATAAATAAAGTAAAAGTTGAGTTCTCTTGTACAAAACGTGTTTGCACATACAAACAGCCATCTTTTCACCACAATTTTATATGGGTCAATTATAATGGGAGAAAAAATGTCAATACCATTCGGGAGAAAATGGAAAAACTACTTTTTTCCAATATTTGATGGCTCTTCTTTCATCTAAGTATGAATACAGCATCATGTCTGACGTGTCTACGCCTCCCATGTGTTTGTTATATTCAGCTACGATTGCTGGTTTTTCGACCTGTATTTGTGCATTCCTTTTCCTGATTGTAGTCGTTTTGTTCTGAACCGTCTCAAATGTGGACATCAGTAAAACATTTTTCTTCTGCGACTTTTTTTCCCGGTACGCTAATAGTAAGATTTCATTATTATTTTGTGTTATATAAAACACTGTCGACAAGTACCGATAAGGGTCAAAATCCACAGCGATTTACGCCGCAGATCGAATATCGCCTGAGTGGCGACCATCGGTGTTTATGTTAGACTTCGGTAACTCTAAGCGATAGGAAAAGGTCGTCGTCCACAAAGAGTTAAAACGAAAAACTATTTTTTTAATTCTCTCATAGTGAAATTAGATCATTTATAACGTATTACAAATTTATTTTGAGATAGAGTTCTCTCGCAATGCGAATAGTAAAGCGCTACGAGGCGCGGGCCGATATATCGGCTCTGGCACTTCTCGCGAGTGTAGCAAGAGCCGATATATCGGCTCCCGGCACTCAAAGGGTTAAAGGCATCAGCTGACCAGGTT